CCCAGAATTCCCCAGCCAGCGAATGCTGGCTGGGGAATTCTGGGAGTTGAAGTCCGGACATCTTCAAGTGGCCAAGGTTGAGAAACACTGTTATATTCAAAAAAACTAGTTGAAATTATCCCTTCTATTAATCTAGCTGCATTGTTTTTACAAAAACACACGAGAAGTTTTAGCAGCTAGCAAATATATCTAAGCAATCACGCAATAATTTATATGCAATTCAAAATCTCGTTTTGGCCATGGCAATTGAACAAAATAGCTTTAAATGTAGGTTGAAATTTAACAAGATGTTCATTATTCAGAAATGTTCAATACGAACAATTTAATGGTTTATCTCTTACTGGAAATGTTTTCTACATCAGTTTAAAGTATGGGGAAAAAATTATCTGTACCAAGAGAATTTTCTACTCAGTAATGAAATCTCCACAGCACGATATGAATATAGCTAAAATCAAATTCAATTACATAAAAGAGAAACAACTTTAAGAAAGATATTTTAAAGATTACATTGGGGAGCAAGATAGGCATATCATGCATGGCAATATCCAAATATGTATCTAGGTACAAGCATAAACAAGCATTTTGCACATTGCTGGAAATGCTACTAAATAAGTATGTACAACTGCAAATAGATGCATGGTTTTTTTTTAAAATTAAAGCTAAATATAATTGCTGTTTCAGTCCAATATTATTTTATATTACTGGATATTTCTCATGTGGATCTTTGGGCTTATTTTACTAATTTTCATAAAAGACAAACATTTCAAAAAAAAATGTGCTCTGCTCTTTCTCCTAGTTTTATACAGGTAGTCCTTGACTTACAACCATGAGGGAGCCCCAAATTTCTGCTGTTAAGCGAGACATTTGTTAAGTGAATTTTGTTCCATTTTATGATCTTGCTTGCCACCGTTGTTAAATGAATCACTGTAATTGTTATGTGGGTAACACAGTTGTTAAGTGAAAGTGATTTTCCCGTTGACTTCGCTTGCCAGAAGGCTGCAAAAGGTGATTATTTATTTATTTATTTATTTATTTATTTTATTTATTTATTAA